TTTTCCAAAAATATTTTGGCCTGACAAATACCTTTTCGTAACTTACCCGAAATTTTTTTTTCTCACAATATTCCCTGAAATTTTTTTTCCAATAAAATAAAATATATCCTCTACCAAATACTCCATTAGTGACATCTTCCGTGCTCACAATGGTGAAAATGAATTTTGTTTTTTTACTGATGAGTTCTCAGAAACGGAATGTGGAGATACTGTAACTAACACAATAATGATAGTTACATTATGGGTTTTTCTTTTCTCATGTCACATGAGATATCATCTCTCATGTCATAGATACAATAAGTGGTGGAGCCCACCACTTGTTAAAAAAGAAAAAAAAAAAAAAAGAACAGCATGATCTTCTTCGATGTCTCATAATATGAGAAAACTATAAAAAAAAAAGAAGAGCACGATTTTTGATGTCTTATAATATGAGAAAAATATCTCTTTTTTTTTTTTTTTTTGGAGTTATCTAACCCTAATTATCTCTTTGAGACGAGTTGGCTCCCTCCGGTATCCCCACGAGCTTCGACTCTTGAGCCGGCTATGGGACTAATCCGGAGTGCGGGGGAACAGTGATGGCTAAAGGTTCAGCCCCCTCCCCAAGAATGCATTCAGCGAGAATCGAACACATATCCAACCCCACTAACTCAGCGCCAAGTTAGACATTAACTCAACCCCACATATCCAACCTCACTAACACATATGAGAAAACTATATCTTATTACATGAGAAAATAATTTTTCTTATATTATTTATGATCCTAATTTTATTAGACATTAATTACTATTTATTATACAAATTAATATTCACTTAAATGAAGAAATTAAAATACAAATGAAATTTGGGTGGGAAGATTCATGTGCTAACATTTGATAAATTCGTCATGTCTCGCCTCCCAACATATTTATAGCAAATATTTTGCTCACTTCATCACATCGATAAAAAAATTTTAAAAAAATTAATTATTAAGATAAAAACCCTCAGCTGCGATTTTTTTAATTCTACGGTGAATAATAATAATAAACATGTGCAGTTTGACTTGAAAAATAAAATTAAAAAAAATAATAAAAGAGGAAGAGAATATCGAAAGAGGAGAATGAATATGGTACGGTCAGGAGGTTTGATAAAAGAAAAATTTTGTTTTAAGAATATGATAAGAAAATCAATTTTCTGGAAATATTATTAAAAAGTTGTTTGGTAAACTAATATATTCCTAAAAATCATAGGTTAATTTTCTTGATACTATGTTTAGTTGTACGTTCCCTATAACTAAAGGGGAGGAACCACTTACCAGCAAAAAAGTTTACAACTCTTACAACTAATTTAATCACCGTTGATTTTCGTCAATCTAACGATTATAATTTATTGAAAATTAATAACATTTATTGTGTCACATTTATTAATTCTCAATAACTTATAACCGTTAGATTGAAGAAAATCAACGGTGAGTAAATTGATTGTAAAAGTTATAAATTTTTTTAGTAGTAAGTGGATCCTCCCCTTGGTTGTATTAAATTTTCTTTTGCCATAAAAATCTTAGAATATCACTTTTTGAATGGTATTCTTGGATAGTTTTTTTTTAAAAAAAATTACATACAAAATAAAATCTCGTAAAAATCATATTCCGGGAAAATTTTAAAATTTGTAACAAACGTAAATAAATAAGATTACCAGTTTCGATCCGTAAATCCTAAAAAATCCTTCTACGAAAATCCTAAGAATAACGAAATTTTCAGTCTCTTTGAAAAAGAACTTGCTGGCGGCGATTTGCTCTGAACGATCAACCACTACGGCAAGGTTCCGTCCTTTTTATCTTCTTTTTTTTTCTTTTTTCTGTTTGGTTCCCGAGAAAATCGCAATTTTTTTTTTTTTGGAAAAGCTCGGAAACTTTGAAATCTGGAACAGCTGAAATGGTGATTTTTTTTTCTTTCTCTTCAAACGGAATCGTTGTCGCTGTTTCCGTAACCGTGTGGATCATCGAATCCATTATCCGTGCGTGCATTTTCTGTGCATGTCGATGATATCTCTCCAGTCTCTTAACATTCAAGTTTATGATGATGCTAATTGCTAAACCTGTGAGTTTTGTGAAATTAGGTTTGGAGTTAGGAAGAAGAAGAGAATCGTGCTTGAGTAGTCATGTTTGGTGTCTTCAGGCGGAGAGTTGCTTCTGGCAGCTCGTCTCATATGGTGAGAGAGAGCTCAGTGTTGTGGCTAATTTTGTTAAGATGTGTTTGCAATTTGAGCGTGTTTGTGTGAATCTACGGATTGAAGTTAAAAGTGAAGTCTGAATCCCATTCTGCATTTATGTTTCAGTTTTTTGGTCGGTCCGTGTTGAAAGTCCATTCTGCTTCGTCACTTCCTGGTAGTGTTTCTTCCGTTGTGGAAAAGGAGGTATCCTTTCTTATTCTCCTGATATCTTTTTTTAATCTTATCCTGTGAAGATACTAATGCTTACTGAATTTATGTTTTTAGGATATGTTTTTAATTCACATCGTGTATGATCATTTATCATTTGCTGAAAATGGGTTTCTATTGGGTCCTTTGCTGCTCCCTAATTGTGTACAATGGTTGTAAATTACAATAGTTATGGTTAATGATTTCTTTCTAAAATGGAAAGGCCTCTCGTGTTCATATGATGTTTTCCATTTCCTAACTGTAACCACCTTTTTTTGTGTTTTTTCCTCTTTTCATTGAACCACGTTTCCATTATGGCTTCTTGACTCTTCAACTGTTTGAACAAAAATGGGTCATCAAATCATCATTGTTTCTGACTAGTTCTTCGTTTGTTGAATTTTGTTCAAAATGTGATGGGATTCATAGACGATTTTTCAATTTCAACCTGATAGGGTGGTAATTTTTTAATTTTTTCCTGAGCAAAATTCAGTTAAGTGCGCTATTTCCAATTGATATCTAGCTTCATCTTTGGTCTTCCTGCTTTTTGTTCACCAGATACTTCATAGTTTATAGACTACAAAATGTAAATTTCTTGGAACAATCACATGTGTAGATAATCAATGCTCCTAAAATACTCACTTATGTCATTTGTCTTTCCTTGATAAAGTGTATTTCTTTATATGTTCATTACCTTGAGGGAATATGGCCTCCGTTTTTTGTTATCATCACCTGGAGTCTTACAGGTTCTATTTATAATTAACAGATTGTATTACATTCAGAAAGATGTGGGAATGTCCGGAATTTCAGCCATAGAAGTTCACATGGTAATTTTGGTGCAATTGTTTTTTAATATGGTAACTGTTATCAACTTAAATTATTTCTGTGATGCAATTTACATAGTAAATCTTATTGCTATTGTAGGATGCTGGTTTAATTTCAAGCCTATAAGGTTAGTAACACCATTTATTAGTCATATGCTTCAAGTATTGCTCGAAGGTTTTGTTTTATGGATGCATAAATGGTTGGCTCAGAATTAGAAAAATGAGTCATTAAGTTAAGAATGCTTGGTTAAGCATTTTTTTGCTTTGTTTTATTTCTTCTTCTTCTTCTTTCATAAAAATAGAAAACGCACCTGAAAATATGTTTATTAAATGAGTTATTCAAGGGCTATTCAAGAGTTCCAGTAGCAGAATAAGAAAATTAGTCAACTCACCCGAATGAAAAGCCAGTAAAGATGATATTTTTTATGGGAACAGCAGGAAGATCAATCTTTCCAACCAGACCAGGAAATGATTGAATGAGGTTTGGAGGCTTTATCAACTTTCTTATGGTTTAACTAATGAGGTAGGATAAAAATAAAATAATTTGGAAACATTTTTCTAGAAGAATTAAAAAAGAAATGGTAATAAAAATTATTGAGAAAGGTAAAAATGAAATCATTTTCAGAGCCAACTGCACCTTAAATTTTCCTTTGCACTCATTTAATTTTAGCATCATTTCCTTAACTTCTTTATATTTGAGAAAATATCAGAGCTCAAAGATGCTTGTTCGGTAATCTATTACTATTAGTTTCATTTGTTCTCAATCAAATTCTGTTGCTGAACTTGTGGGTGCAACTCTGATAAATCTACTTGTATATTCCCCCCTTCCTCCTCCTCCCTTGTGCAAATATAATCATCTTAAAGTGTGGGAGTGAGTTTTATTTTTTGAAAGCATTAATTACTAAGTTAAGGGAATGGAAGAGTAATATCTGTCTCTTTGTCACCATGTTCTCATTAATTTATTGCTGTGTAGGGAGATTTCTCGTCATGAGGCTCTCATGCAAACAATGGTGCGCCGATTTTCTGCAGACAGTGGTGAGATATTGACATCCACCTTATTGTTCTGTTATTTAAGATTTAAAAGTTACTTTTTATAGTTTGAGTTTCTTTTATTCATGAAGGATGACTGTGCACACACAATGTGTAATGCTTATTGTAATAGGAATATTTTTTGTATGATGAACATGTTAAGGACCAACCCAGATAACAGCAAATCAACAAGAAAAGGAAATGACAATTCAAGAATTAATCTGAGAAAAAACTAGCCCAGCCACTGATACTTGTATTTATTGCTATGTGTAAAGAACCTTGGAATACACCACCCCAAAAGCTAGCTCAAAGGGTGGGAGTGCCCAAGACCTTATAAACTTCACATTAGTTGCACATACAACAATGTGGGACTATATATCTCAACACGCCCCCTCACACGAGAGCCCATTGGGCTTGAAGAGTGGACAATGCAACAGACCCAGCCTACCTGTGCTAAGAAACGCCACAAGAGAAAGTGGGGGGCGGCGAGGCTCTGATACCATGTAAAGAACAATGGGCCTGTTGAGATATATAGTCCAGGTAGGCTGGGCCTGTTGCATTGTCCACTCTTCAAGCCCAATGGGCTCTTGTGTGAGGGGGCGTGTTGAGATATATAGTCCCACATTGGTTGTATGTGCAACTAATGTGGAGTTTATAAGGCCTTGGGCACTCCCACCCCTTGAGCTAGCTTTTGGGGTGGTGTATCCCAAGGTTCTTAACACTATGGAATCGAGAATTACAGGAACTGGAATTGTGATACAGAAAGTACAGTGTTTCTTTCATACAGATTACATTACTAAATCAGTTTTCAAGGAAACAGATTACAGAAAGGTAAATTCGAGAGTCCCTAGCCTCTCCCAATTCTACTTCTTTTCTAGAAAACTCTCTTCTCCTGCTTCTGCCATTCCCCTCCTATTTATTCTCCTGTTCTTGCTCACAGTTATAACAGAATTGCTGAGTCAGCTCATGAGTCAACATCTCACATTAAAGCTGGGGTCCACTTCCTTCTATTCTTGTCTCGTTTATATACCTTTGCTGGCTGGACCGCATCAGAATATTTAACAAAACCTATGGTTGGAATGCAAGTTTGCATCATACTTATACACTTTCATAAGATTATTTTATAGCATACGAATATCTGTTAATTTCAATGTAAAATATACTTTTCAAGAAAGAGAATAGTTCAACCGTTTTACGACCTGATTATAGTAGCTTAAATTTTGAAAATTTAGTATGCAAAATAAACTATTATTACTTGTAATTCAATGGCCAGATTGATCGATATCAATTTTGTAAGGAACTATTGAAAGGTATATTCTTACAATGACAGGGACAACAATGGATCCCAACCTCTAATTATAAGTTATTTCATTAGAGTTATCATGCTGTTATTGCGTGTCCACCAAATTTAAACAATTTGAAGTATATTATCAAATTATTGATATTGTCAGGTGCTGAAATCTCAAGAGTTGGTGAGCTAAGTCTGTTTTTCCTTTCCTTTGTTTTTTTCTTCCTTTTTTTTGGAGGAGGGGGAGGGGTCTACTATTTTTATACATTTTCAAATGTTGAAGATAGAACAAAGTCATTTTAGAAATTTGAATGAGCCATGGTTTACCCCTACATATGTTCCTCCACTCTTCTTGATCTTGCTTCTTATCCTCATGCCATAAAAATTTTTAGGGCGAGCCTAGAGCAGTGATGAAAATTGCTCGTGTGACTAAAAGGTCACATGCTCGAATCCGGGTAACAGACTCTTTGCTAAAAAATGCAATGGTAAGGCTATGTATAAGGATTTCCCTCACCTTTATCCTTGCAAGTTGGTGTTTCATGGGAAGTTTTTTTGTAATAGAAATGATTTAATAATCATGAGTTTTGGTCAAACTGTGTTACCTTAATATACACTTTAAGAATGATTCATTACAGTGCTACATGTTAGAAGTAAACCCAAATTCTTTACCATGACAAGGGAAAAAGCACGATATTGTCCTCCAATTCTATAATGAATTACTGATAACATCTCTCCAACATCGAACTCCATGATTTTTTCTATTTTCTTATATTTGGTTGTATTGTAATTCTTGTATATATTGTTTTCTCATAATGGAATGGTTAGCTATGCATAAGAACATGGTTCTGTAGTCATGTACAAACCATGTGACTATGTATCAGTTTAAATGCTTATTATTACAATGTAGAGGATTATAGTGTTACTTTTTATTACATTTCGGAACTTCTGTTCTATTTTTTGTGCATTATGTCAATTGGCTATATTTGGGAGAAGGTAGTATAACAAGACTTAATGGAGTGAGATATAAATTGACGAATGGTGTGTCTTAGAATGGATTGGAGGAAAGCAATTAGCATTGTGGAGGGTTTGACCCTTTTTTTCTTCATATGTTTGATATGTTCTTTTTTAGTTCTTTTCCTCTATATCTCCCTATATTTCTTTCTTTATCTCTTTTTTTTTTCTCCTTTTTTCCTCTCTTATTTATTTTCCTTTTATTTGTTTATTATTCATATCTTACTTTTTTTCTTCTTTTATTTTTTCTCTTATGTACTTTTTTCTCTTATTTATTTTTATTTTCACTTTATTTTAGTTTTCTTTTTAATTGTTTGTTGCTATTTTTTAATTTCCACTGCTTTCGATAGCCCCTGGCATTCATGTTTTTATCTGGTTTTGTTTTGGCTTTTGATCACTAATATGTTTAAGATATCAACTGTTTTTATTTGTGATAAAGGAGATATGGTTGATGTTGTGGTTCCTCCGTTGGCTGAATCAATTGAAGATGGAACTCTGGCAAAATTTTTAAAGAGTATGTTAACTAACTTATTGAATATATGTTTTTTCGTTTTCATTTATTTGAATTGTGTGTTATTTTCAATGATTCTTGTCTATTGACCGTGTACCATTTTGATACATGAGAGCAGATCCTGGTGATAGTGTTAATGTTGACGAACCAATAGCTCAGATTGAAACAGATAAGGTGCTATTTTGAAACTATATAGAAATCTCTCACTCTTTAAGGGTTTTAACTGTTATAAGTGGATCAATTTTGTCTGTTCCTAAATTATTATGGATTTAGCTAATCTTTTTTTATTTTTTTATTAGGTGACAATTGATGTTCCTAGCCCTGAGTCAGGTGTGATTTTAAAGGTACTGTTTAAAAATTTTAAAATGTTTTTACTGCCCCTCACTCCCTGCTCCTCAGAAAAAAAAAATTATTACATAAATTACTCTCTCGTGTGTCTTTTGCGTTGAAATTGGCTTGTGTGATCTATTTAATGATTTCAGCTTCTAGCCAACGAAGGAGATACTGTTCAACCAGGTAACAAGATAGCAATCATTTCCAGGTCTGCTGAAGCTACAGCCCATCCTGCCCCATCAGAGAGTACAACTGAGAAAGCTACTCCTCAACCAACCCAAAAGATTAGCGAGGAAAAGAAAGCACCTAAAGTTGAAACTGCCCCTATTACAGAGAAACCCAAAACACCCCCTGCTCCACAGCACTCTCCCACTGAGCCACAGCTACCACCTAAGGAAAGAGAAAGACGAGTAAGTGATCATAGTTGTGATTATTAAACGTACATGAATAATATTTAGCATTCAAGTTTCATGAAAGTTGTATTGATATTTCCTTCATTATTAAAGGTTCCGATGACAAGACTTCGGAAGCGAGTTGCTACACGGTTGAAAGATTCTCAAAACACATTTGCAATGTTGACAACATTCAATGAAGTTGATATGTAAGCTTTTCTTTCTTTCTTTCTTTTTTTTTTTTTTTTTTTTTGCTTTTGTCAAATTTTATCAGAAGCTTTGAGCATGAAGTTTTGCTGACAAAATTCAGCTTTAGTGTTTTTTCATGTGGGCATAAGCATTCTCCATTGTACATTAGTTGGTCATGCCTTCCTTTGGAATTATCTCATATTCCTATTATATTGTTGGAATGAGATCCACTAGTCTAAATTTAATGAAGTCCTGAACTCATGGTCTTTCTGCTACTCCTATGATGCATTGGAAATTCATGGCATTTTTTTTTTGGGTCTTTGTGCAACTGACTTCCAAGAGAGCTGCTATTGCCTTGGTTATTACCTAATGAGAGAAAGCTGATACCAAAGTCACCCTTTACACAAGGGAATGCCAAACAAACTTACCTCTGCTAACTAAGTTTAAATATATGTAGACTGGAAACTAGAGCAATACTATACTAAGGCACAGTGCCGCTGCCACAAATAAGGCTCAATGAAACATGCTATTAATCTCCTAAATCCTACTGTGTGTGGCTTTCTTATTTTTGATTTACAGAATCTGGGTGGGTAGGTGAGGCATTGGTACACATTCACATCGTAGTTGACCTATTCCCCCTTAGGGGGCGTTTGTTACCGGGTTTTTTTTCGTTCCCTGGGAAAGCATGCTTAGACAAATAATAAACTCGTGTTTGGTAAGGCAAAAAAGAAAAAAATCCAGACTACAAACGTTTCGCGGAAAACCATGTTATGTGCAATTTATTGTACGGTCTGCAGAATTGAAGTTCCATATATTGGATGGAACCTTTTGTTGCCCGGGGAAGTAGAAATTGAGGTGCAATTTATTGACAAAATTAACCTTCATGAAAACAGTATGTCGACCAAACAGATTGGTACAAGTTTAAAGTGGGGTTATTTTCGTAAAATAACCTCACATTCCCACTAATATTTCACAACCAACCAAACACACACTCAGTAAAATTAACCATAAATTCCCGAGAAAATTTTAGCATACCAAACATCTTTTTACTAACATTCCAGACCAAATATATTTCACACTACATTCCAGTAATAATTATTTCCTGGGTTTAAAAAAATTCTTCTCTACCAAATGTCTCCTTAGTGGAAAATTTATAACTAATTTTTAGCTTGTCTATGTTATTTTAACTGAATTGGCTGTTTTGAAAGTTTAGGGTTTAGACAAGCAAAAGGGAAGAGAAAGAATGATGGCTAACAATGTATGATGAGATTGATAGTAAGATTTTACAATAAAATAAGCTAATGCACCTTTTTATGCTACAAAATAAGTCAAGTATTATTACTATGAGACAAGCCTAAGCCCATTACTAAAAACCCTAATATGTTAACATTTTGCCATGGGCCAACTCTTTCAAAAGCTTAAGTTATTACGTGAAGGCCCATGAATTTTTTTATATTTGACATGCTTTCCCAGACAAGAGTCTTTTGGACTTGAAGCCTAGATAATGTATAAGTCTACCTACCTTATGGTGACATGTTACTTTTCTTACAAGGATGGCAAGGATCAAACTTAGACGGCTTGATCATAAAGGCTCTTACGCAATGTCAAGAACCAACAATCCCAAGGTTGAAGACTCATGAATAGTGTTATATTTAATAGGTCACTTGGCATTTCTCAATGTAATAGTACTCAATATCATGGAACACACAACTAATAAAATTTGAGGAAAAAATGAAGGAAAGTAAAGTTTGACTCCATTTTTTAATTATTTATTATTGATGTTGTATTTTTATCAAGGCCTTAAGTTGTAGACTGCCGTTACTCTCTCCCTCACCGTTCTTTTCTTAATGGTAGGACTAATTTGATGAAGCTTCGGTCTGATTATAAGGATGCTTTTGTTGAGAAGCATGGGGTCAAATTGGGACTTATGTCTGGTTTTGTCAAGGTATGTTATCTAATTACTTAGTGAAGAATATTAGCTTTCTTTTTCTATTTCCTCATGTACGTATGTGGTCTCTATTATAGGCTGCAGTCAATGCACTCCGACATCAGCCAATTGTAAATGCAGTCATTGATGGGGATGATATTATATACAGAGATTATATAGATATCAGCATAGCTGTTGGTACTCCAAAGGTTTGTATCAATCATTAGCTTTCCTCAGTTACTTTGTTTTATTATGTGGAGAAATCTTTTCAGTTTCACTTTCATGTGTTAATACTTCATGAAACTTAAGTATTTCTTATTGACCTTAATCGGTTGATGTTGTCATGGTTGGTCAGCAGAAGTGGTATTTGAATGGTTTGCTTGTGGAGCTAATTGACTAGTTTATATGGTCCCATATATGATATGTGAGAATATCAAGTTATCTTCCTCAACATTGATTGAAATGCAAGTGTACTTTAAGATGAGAAACAAGGCATAACAGTTGGAAATATGGTTTCTGGCATCCAATTTGTGCTTGAAATGAGTGTCTAATTTTCTTATAATTGGCCTGCTTTGTGTTCAAACATTCACAAATTGTTCCTGATATTGAATTTATCTAATTTGTATTTTTTGCATGGCTGTGAAAGTTATTGTTTTGCCTGTTGTATGTAAACAACAATGAATACTACTCACACCTCTGCTTGCCAGGGCCTTGTTGTGCCAGTTATCCGCAATGCTGAGGAAATGAACTTTGCGGATATAGAAAAGCAGATCAATACTTTCGCAAAGAAGGCAAATAACGGAACTTTATCAATTGATGAGATGGCTGGAGGCACTCTTACAATATCCAATGGCGGTGTTTATGGGAGCCTTCTGAGTACCCCTATTATCAACCCTCCTCAGGTTTGCAATTTTGACCAAGTTAACACCTATTATTTCATTTAAATATATAAAATCATGCAGTGTATACATAAAGTTGTTTCTCATGTTAAGTTTGATAGTACTTGATCATTGACCGCTTTCCTTCATCAACATCCCTATTGGGCTGTTTGATGACAGGAAATAGGAACAATGACCTCTTTACTTCTATCTTCCATTCATTGTCTGTCATGTCATGAAAATTGAAACTATATTTATAGTCAGTAGCTTTACAAAATGCTACTTGTTTTCTCTGTAGAGTAAGTATAGTTGGAAACTGTTAGAATGTATATATATTAGGATATGTGATGGGCTGAAAGTGGTGAGTGGGTTAGGTAATTAGTTAGAGAATTGTTCTATAGAATATTCTCTTAGAAAATAGGATAAAAGGAGGGAGAATGTGTGGAGTGAGGGAGGCATGAATTAAGTGAATATTTGGGGGAAAATTGGAGATCTCTTGGAACTAGGTGTGTTGGTTCTAAGCATGAGCTAGGAGTCTTTTATTTTATTTTTCTGTAATTAGTGTTTGTAAGGAGCTTGTCTCCATTACTGTTTCCTTCAATTTACAGCCAATAAAATTGGGTTTCATCAATGTGTTAGTTATTGTTTTAATTGTCCTGTAAATAGGCCCAAGCATATGTATCTTATTATTATAAATACAATCCTTGTATGGTCTTCTTAGACAGAGTTCCTCAACTTCAAGTGAAATATCAAAGCCAATTGTTCTGATCTGTTCCTTGCCAGTAATTGACTTGGGTGATAATTTGTTTCAATGATGCCTAATATCTTTGAAGCACCATGTTGATTAAGTATAACCAATTATTTGGAAAGAAATGTCATACTGTTGTTGTTTTTGGCAGTCGGCAATCTTGGGTATGCATTCCATAGTGAGCCGTCCAATGGTTGTTGGAGGTAATATTGTCCCAAGGCCAATGATGTATATTGCTCTAACATATGACCATAGAATAATTGATGGAAGAGAGGCCGTGTTCTTTTTGCGACGTATCAAAGATATTGTGGAGGATCCTCGTAGGCTTCTGCTAGACATATGAAGTGCACCTCAACTTCATTAGAGTATGTTAAACAAAATTCATTTACCTCAGACTAATCACTAATATATGTGGTTGTCTTAAATTGCGGCTGGTCATGATTTACAGTTTGTAATGAGCAAACTCTTTAGGATCATATCCAATTTCCATCTGATTTTAAATCAGTATGTTTTTCCTTCTTTTTTCTTTCATTTTTTTTTTCTCATTCTATACAAGGAGAACATTTTTTAACTCATAACTTGTATGAAACTATAGCATGGGCTTGTCCCTAAAACAATGTGATTATCTTTCAATGCTTCAATAAGTCTTTGGGAAAAAAAATTCATATAATTTGGATAATCTGGTGTTGCCATTTGGTGCGAATTTGGCTGACATATGGCATAATTATTGACTGCTTGATTTTTCTGATAATTCCGAGTTATATTATTGATGCGAGTCATAAACCACGGTAATGTTGTTGGGCTGTCGGTGCCGGAAAGACTGTTGCTCCTATAAAACAATGTAAATTATAAGTTTCAGTATATATGATTTATTCTAAAATCACTTACATTTCAATTTTTTTATCATTTGCTTTCTTTCTTTTTTTCGTTATTTTTGATTTATAAATGAGAATATGCTAAAAATATCCTTTAATCACAACATATAATTAGGTTTTTCTATTTTTAATGATTTCAAGCTCTATCTTTACACAAATTTGCGGAATGAACAATGTTTTCTTTATTTTAAGCCATAGTTATCACGGGAGCAAAACGGATAAATTATTCAACCTTAAACAACGTGGAGGTATCGGGAAAAAAAAAAGCAACAAAAGAAGATGTGGTGATAAACAAAATAGAGATAAGCAAGTTTAGAATAAACTACATGGAGTATTTGTACATTATGTAACAATATATATTAGTAGTATTCCCTTAGAAACCATTACTGTCGTTAAATTTATAGAATTAGTGACAACATACTTTTATATTACTATTGTTGTGAGAAAAATTGATAATATCATAAATTGCAGAGTCGAAGTGATGAATTATTTTTCAACATTTTATTTTCTACATTTGAGAATTTTAATAAAAAATTTTGTGAACTTAACTATCCAAAATAATAATTAAATGACAAACTTATAAATATAAATCATAAACAAAATAGAAAATAAATTCAGGTACAATAACTAATTAAATCAATGTGTCATTGATTTCGTATTGAATTTTAATCATAATAAACCCGTGTCCCTTGCCATTTATTTATGTGAATAATATCACTCGACATATACCTTAAATTCACCTTAATCTTTGAGTTATATGAGTCTATGATGCACCGACACTTCAAAAAATCTAGTATGTCGTGTCTGACACTCCTCGACACTCCAACACGTATTGTAGAGACTAAAAAAGTGTTCAAAGGTTGCATTGTGTTGCGTTTTTAGTTTCAACTATTAGATTTGTTAGACTACGATTACCATTTTATTGAGTTTAATATAAGTATTTGTAATATCTTATGTTTCTTTGCAAAATTGATGGATATTATAAGTTTAACTTCATTTTTTGTTAAATTATTGAATATTAAATATAATATATGCTACATAAATTAAAAATATTATTCAAAATTCAAAAAACGTATCTATCGAAATATAATATTTTTTAAAATTAACATGTCAAAATATTATATTATGTCCCCGGTATCGGTGCAACATAGATGAGTTATCCAGTGATCATAGAAAGACTGAGCGTTAATTTGGCCTTTGTAACATAGGATAAGCATTAATTTAAGAACCAAATTAATGCTCGAATATACATTGAGGAAGTATATTAATACACTTTTTAAAAATTAAAAGATTAACTTGATATTCAAAATCTTTCAGAGTAACTAATTCAAATACCGTGTATTTTTAGAAGACGAATTTGAATATTTATTACCTGTTTGATTTAACTTTTTATAAGAAATATTTTTTTCTTTTTGGAAAAGACATTTTGGAAAGTTGTAAAAATAAATTCTTCTTAAGATAACTTGATCTAAACAAGCACTTAGTCTTTTAACTTAATCAGTAAGATAAAAGTTAATTCTGAATACACTGGATTGTTAAGTACCAATTTTTGTTTGACTCTTAAGCAAATTACCCAAAAAGACAATTAAAGACTCACAATCCAACAAGTGGATTTCCATATTATAGCAAACATATCAAAATTCTAATGACTCGTCCCACACAAAACTGATTATAAAATGGAAAATAATTATTTTATGTTAAATAAGATAAAATTATCTTATGCAATACTGATAAGGAAGTGGGATCCACTATTTTAAAAAAATAAAAAAAATAGTGAACCCACTATTTTATCTCTATTGTATAAAATAATTATCTTATGCAATATAAGATAAATAGATCCCATAAAATATATGCTATTTATATGAAAGATAAATGGCAAAGTATAACGTGTAACTGAACTCAACCAAAATGAATAAGTCAATAGTCAAATGAGTAAGGGATTCTGAGAATATCATACATAACAGTGTCTCCTCATCATATATATGTAACCAATATCAGACACACAGGAGAAACATCACATCCTATACCATAGGGGAGACAAATGAGACAATTTTGTAATAACAAATGGTCAGATATAGAACCGCATAAACCTACTTTCCCCCATGTATTAAAATATCATAAAGGTCACATTCTGAAAAGCTTTCCATGATCCAAAAAGTTGAGATTTTAAGGGCTATAATGTTAGATTACAAAAAACTGAAAAGTGATACATAAAACCAGGTTTGCTTATTAAGAAGTCCATCTTAAAACTTTCCCCATTAAATGCAAAATCAGATTCGGACTTCTATGCCTTCCTTCAACAAATGCTCTTTTACACACTGAATAGGCACCTACAATTAATGGTAAATTCAAATTCACTTTTTGAGCAACATCTTTAAATCAATCAAAATCAGCCTGATACACAACATTTTAATGCACATTGATTAAACCTGCAGTTGATTATTAGGGGGATATAATATTATGGGCCCATTTGCTTGTGCTATTTCAAAGAGAAAAATGCTTTTTTAACTGAAAATTATGTCTAATATATTTTGAGATAATTATATTTATTTTTTTATTGAAATAACTAAAAAAGCAGTCCTAGTGCTTTTCTGTTAAAGTTAGAAAAAGTAGCTTATGAAAAAACTGAAGAAAAAAAATATTAAAAAAAAAAATCATAAAAGCGTTCTAAAAGCTTATCTAAATGCACTCATGATACTAATAAATGAGAATGAATAAATGCAATAATTGATTAATAATAGGATGTAGTTAACAACAAAGAGCTTAAGTAGTAAATATAGAAGGCTTGAAAGTAATAACAATATGCACTTAATTGTGACAACAATCATTCCCATCAGCATTAAGAAAGTGATATAAACAGAAATGATACCTCCTTTCTATGGAAAATGCCAGCAGCAAGTGCAGCAGATGCATTTGTTTTAGTAAAAACCTCGGAAAAGTGTTGAGGAACACCAGCACCACTACTTGCAATCACAGGGATATTTACAGCATCTGAGATCAACTTAGATAAATCTACATCAAAACCTTTCCCTTGACCTGAAATATTAACAATATGAGAAAAATAAATTGCAACAAAAGCAGGATTTTAGTAAATACATAGTCAAATGACCCCACATATCTTCCTTTTTTTTATTAGAAAAATAACGTTTATTACATAGTTGTCAATAGCAGTTAGCGGCCGACCCCGAAAATGGTATAGCGGTGTAGCGGGTAGCGGTATTACCGCTACGGTGAAGTATTAATTCCACATATATTATAGTAACAGTCAAGAAACGAGGCAATACCGCTTTTAGTATTAATGCTCAAACATAAGAAGTCACACAAAATCAAACACATAATTCCACAATCAATGTCAAATACAAGGAACATAAAGGAAGGATCCAAAATTAAACACAACTGAACAATAAAATTGTCAAATAGTCAAGTACAAGAAGTGAACTAATATAGAAAATCATCATCATCTCCAGATTCTCCATCAAATTCCAACATGGGAGTGGTGTAGCGGGGTAGCGGGTAGAAGTATTGCTGCTACGCTACGCCGCTACCTTCCGCTACGGCCAATGTCGCGTAGCGTCGCGGTTTGTAGCGGCCGACCGCCGCTACCCGCTACGGTAGCGGTTTAGCGGCGCTACGGGCCGCTACTAACAACCTAGGTTTATTATAGAGAAAAGAGGGAAAGTACAAATAGGAGGATGAATAAGATATCCTCCAAATTAAAGGAAAATTTATATATAATAAAGAACAAGAAAAAAAAAACTAATGAATGCAACAAGACAGCTCAATCTATTTGCATATAAGTAATTTTATCCCCATAACAATTATAGGGACAAGTTAAAGGCATATATCAATTTTACCCTTGAAAAATTGGGAAGAAAAAATTAACCATGATATTTGTAAAAAAGGATTCGAGAGACTAGATAAAAACCAAAGAGAAAGAGTCATTTCTTTCCACCTTTGATGTCAATATATTGCAGATAAGAAACAAGCTCAATAGTCATTTTTATTATTTAAAATTCATTGATGATGAAGAGGGTTTTGACAACAGTTAAACATTTGCAAATAATCAAATTAGATGAAATAAACCAAACATTATCAAAATAGGCTATATATTTTTCAACTTCCATTTTAAATATAATATTAAAAAATCACTGTTAACAAAGAAAAAAAATATAGCGAAATCTAGGTAAAGGATAGAGTCAGATTGACCATCGCAATCGATGCAGTTGAGTAGTATTTCCCCAGCACCAAGCTCTTCCACTGCTTTTGCTAGTTCAAAAGCACCAATTGGTCGGCCTTCTCGCCCCCCATTAACCTTATAATAAACAAAAGTATAGAGATAAGAAAAAAATAAAAATTTCAGGAAGCAAATAGTTAAATGACTTTATCTTCATTCTTTCCTTTTGACAAAATTCCAAGAGATCCATGAATTACAATCTCATGACAACCTATTGACTAAGAGATTGAAGTCTAGGTGTGTATGGATAGTGATGGTTGTTGCTCCCTTCTAGTATTGAGAAAATAACCAGCAGCAGCACTGATATAAGTAGCAGGCATCATATGTGCCTCTAACTAAGACAGACTGGACAAGTCTAGACAAATACAAGAGTAAAGAGTGAAACGGTCATACAAGTGAGCTAAAATATATTAAAAAGTTCAGAAAATACGGCTGCTGCTACCCAAGGCAAGAACCACTTAATGGTAGGACTAGGAACAAATAATTACAAAACCCCACTCTTTCAATCTACTACTCTTTCATTC